AAATTATTTATGACTTTAATTCTTTAAAATATTTAAATTTGATTTATTTTCTTATTGATATAAGGGTTAGTCTTGATAGCAATAGAAAAACAATTGTAGTAAAGACTCTCTATAAAAGTGTACAATGGTAAATATAAGGAAAAAAAAAGTAATATGCATTTAAAGATAATAAAGGACAAAAAAGGGTTATCTTTGAACTAGATAATTGAGTTTGGGTGCATATATGCAAGAAGAGATTTCCTAAATATAGAAGATTTGTTGGTGCCGAGAAAAAATGGTTTATTCTAAATCTTTGAAAGAATTAATGTCAATGCTTATAAATTGAATCTATTAGTTGAGTATGATATTAGTGCTACTTTTAATATTTCTAATCTCTATCTTTTTTTATTGTAAGTTATGATTCTAGGTTAAATCGTTCTAAGAAGAAAAGGAATGATGTGATCTAAACTACATCAAACTACCCATTAAAAGTTCCAAATGAGACAATTATAGGATTAAGGGAAAATAAATTTAAAGATTCATTCAATGTGTTTGTTCAAAGTATTTGGGTCAACTTAGATTTCAAGAAAATTACATATTTAACAAGTGATATTCAGACCTTAGTCAATTTAACTTATATATAAGAGAGACCTAAACCATCTATTTCATGGGCTAACTAACTTAGCATCTATATGCTTATTTGTTTGCAAATGTTTCATGGATTCCAAGTTATTGGAGGATTCCTTATTGTGTGTGGAAACATAAAAGACCAATAATTATTTTCTTGTTTGTTTTGGATTGTAAAGGGGGGCATGATGGTCTATTAGGTTAGGGATCCTTTTTAAGCAAAGATTTTACTTAACATTTTTTTATGTTAATTACTAGAGTGGGGCAATATAGTAATAATTCTTAGAATTATTATTTGTATTATTTCCCATGTTTGGACCTCATTTTAATTTGAGTTAAAGTTCTATTATTTTCTTTCCAAGTATAAATAGTATTTTGTAAGACATTATTTTTAAAAAAATTTAAATACATTACTATAGCATATTGTGTGTGTTTTTATGAGCGGATTTTCTTGTTTTAGTTCTTCATTGAATTACTTTAACTTATTGAAGAATTAACTAGGTTTGTAGTGTGTTTTATACTTCTTATTTACATCTCCTCGTAAGTGTTGGGTGAGGATTTGGTTTCTATAATTTTTGGTGTTTCAGTACAAGTTATTATTGTGTAAGTTTAATTACAAGCCTACATTTAAGTTTTTTAGGAATGGTTAATTTGAGTATGAATTTCTAGATTTTTATATCTATGAGGTTCGCATCATCCACCCATTCCCCTTCTCTTTGTGGAGAGTTACTAGTTTATATGTTTGTGCTATACTGTGGGGGATCAAAATTTTCTTAAACATAAAAAGTTTTTCTAGGTCTCACAAAAATCTTTGGCATTGTCATTAAAATTGAAAATATAGTCATTTTGATTTTTTTTCTTCATAAACATAGATTTTTCTATCAATATATTTCTTATTTATCTTAACCAACATAATGTTTTTAATAAAAGCATTGTTTAAGTTTTCTTTTTTAATTATGATTGTTAAAGTAAGTTAACAAAAAAAATCAAAATAGTATGTTCATATTTTGTGTGATTGTAAGCTAAATAATCAATATGATAAAATCAATTCCAAATCTATTTAAACATTTTAATAATAAGCAACCAATTTCAATTGAGTTTTCATAAATAATTTATTATTAGTATTTTTATTTTCAAATCCAATGCATAATAATTGAAAAAAATATTATTAATAAAATCAAATAAAAATTTAATATGGTATTTAAGAAACCATGTTAGAACTGAAGAGAAAGTAAATCTGGTACAAGTTTTTCGGAGTATAAGGCAAAAATCAAAGAAAAAAATGGAAAAGACAACTAAGGGCTAGGCCAGGCATGCGCGCCTTGGCCCTAGTTTTCACATCTCCCATAACTCAATCCCGTGTTCTCTGTGTTGTCACACACATTAATTGACTAAGCTGCAACTTTAATTTGTTATAAAATGATTGAAAAATATATTTGTTGTTTATATAAATAGTAGAAGATCATAAAAATCCTTAAATTTTTTAGTGTTGTGGGTTTAAACACACACAGGCATACGCGTACACACAAACACGTCGATGGTATAAAATAGTAGAAAGAAATTAGCAATAAAAAAGAGAAGAAGAAGAAGAAGAAGCAGCAGTTAGGTTCATGTCTTTAATTAGGAAGATAGGGCAAGAATTCTAGTTGAGTTAAGAACGTGACTAGAGTAGGTCAAGCTTGACGCGGCTACTAAATTTCCAGACTTTCTTCCCCAAACGGAGGTCAAACCTAGCAACATAACCTTTTAAGCTTGACCGAGCTAGTATCAAATTTTGAGCTGTATTGAAATTTAAGGTGATCGGGACAGAGAATAGAAATCCTGCTCGAATAGAGGATTTTGAATGGCTAATCGACTTTAAAGATAGGTGAGTGGGTCTTCGAGAGCACAAGGTCTTCTATTAGGTGGCCATACTTAATAATTAATTCGATCTCCAACATTGGTTGACATGTTCTTCGAAGAAATGTCACCAAGGACCATCTTGATTTAGCATATCATCGAAAGAAAGAAAGTTCCAAACATCTCTTGCTTCAGCATGCTCTCTCGTACTTTTCCAATCTGGCTTGCTAGCACGAAGTTTCGACATATAAAATGATTAGAAAAGGCACTTAGATCGGATCCACTCTTTTTTATGCATAAAAAATACACTGGTGTCAAAGTGTTTTTTATAGCAATGAAAATCGTGATTGTGAATTCTAAACTTGAATTGTATATTTGATAAAATTCGAGTCAATAAATGTTAATATTATTATAATGCTATTTTTTAATTAAATATATTTAAAAGATAGATATAGATTAAAAAATTTAATATTGATTCACAAGAAGCCATAAAATGTTTTTTAAAAAAAATTATTTGTGTGCCATTTTTTTTATACAAGACTAGTAATAATTTAAATTTTATTGAAATAAAATAATTTTCTAGCATAACTCTTTCTCTTATTAATATCTATATGTAACCTCAATAAAAAAAAAAAATTTTTTGTTGTTGTTCTATGTCATTCATTTAATAATAATAAATCACTACTATCATAAAAAAAATATCTTCGATATTTTAAAATAAGAATAAAAAATTTATTTATTAAATTAAAGCATTTTTATTTTATTATATTATATGAGTCAATTTGGTAACCAGGCTTGTTGCCAGGTATAAATTTCAAATTAAATTATATTAGAGTTAAATTAATATAAACTAGTTGATCTGGTAGACTCCATTGTAACCCAATTGATCTATTAAAAATAAGATTTGTTTAAATTTTTTTATTGTATTTTACAGGTTAATAAAGTCCAGTTAACTTATAACCTAGTCAATTTAACTTAATTTAACTTAGAACCTAGTCAATTTAAAATATAGACGGATCTAAATTTGAAAAAAGTAAAGAAATCACTATCTTTTCTCGACTTAACTTAGATTTACCCTTTACTTTATTACTCAAAGTAAAAGATTCATTGATTATATTTTTAGTTTTTTTATTAAAATCATGTTATTTTAATTTTTTTTTTTAAATAAAATTAAAATGCATACGGATATATACAGTATTAAAATGCATATGGATATGTACAGATAAAATTAAAATGCATTCGGAAATTAAAATTTAAAAAAAAAGATTGTGTGAAAGCTCCCTCAGCCTGGAACAAAAATTAAAGACCTCGAGTGGAATTATGTACAGATATAGATGGGAAAGAAATTGTTAACGGTGAAAATCTAAAGCTTCGGAGATCATTACAGAGCGACCTCAGCGCGCATCTTGGCCTATTAGGCAATATCAGATTACTCTCTGTAGTTGCTCTTATTATGGAAGAGTTCCGAGCCTTCAGGAGGATGCAGTCCATGAATGGTGCCTGAAAAACACTACTCACTTGTAGGTATACAGCTGATGCATGCTGGTAATGGTTGTTCGTGATTGACCTAACACCAAATTTACCCCGCAAATGTTGACAGTGTGCTATCAATATTTGTACTCCAGAATACGACAAACTGGCAGAAGGAATAAACATTACAGGTTTTTATAAGTGATCAGTTACAAAATCAAGATAATTAACAATATTATGGATTTATTGAATAATTGATTGATTTTTTAATTTAAGTAATTTGATTTATTATTTTTAATCAAAGTATTTGGTTATTTGATATAAAAACTCCTAAGAATTGGTAATTAATAGCAAATGATATTTGGTAAGTGAAGGTGATCGATAGTTATAGTAGTTGATTAGTAAATCAATTATCGGTAGTTGTAGCAATGATAGGTAAGTCAAGTAATCAATAATTGATATCTATAAAATATGTGATAAAATATGTGTTTTAATTGGATGTGAAGACTTTTCGATAGTGAAATTAATAGCTTTATAAAGAAAAAAAATGTAATGATATTGTAAAGAGATAAGATATGAAAATACAAATGATAAAAAATGTTGAGAATAAAGAAATTATGAACATTTAACTTGAAGAATTCATAATATATTTATAACTTATGAAGTTATAATCATGTTATATAGAGAAAAAACTGGAATGTAATTTTATTTTTATAATAATTTAAGGTACATTCTACTTAAAATAATATATATTAAATAAATATAAAATATTGAGAGACTTGTATTAAATCTTATAAAAATTCCCTAACGATTGAGAGAGAGGTTGGCTTAGGCGTGTACCCGAGCCTATGATGGTTTTTTGGGCCTATTTGGCTCTCCTTTTTTAATCTATTTTATTTGTATCCCTCAATATGACTTACAAAATATAAACATGATAAAACCATGTGCTAGTTGTAAGGTTTACTGTAATTCTCACAGAGAAGAAGTCAGAACTGTGAACAATCCAGAAGAATAAAACAGTCATTAAAGCTAAGTAGGTGCCTGGAATGACACCAGTAGCAAAGATCTCCTTATGCTTCCAGGAATCAGGAAGTGGAGGTGGTTTCACTGTCATTGGAAATAGTCATGATTGTCCCATCATTAAGTATGACAATGATCAAAACCATGAAAGGAATAAAATCAGATTTCCAAATTAGAGCAAGGAGCAGAAAACCCAGCACAATACGGATGGTTATAGACACTGCATAGATGGTGTAATTCTTCATTCTCTCGAAAATGGCTTTGCTTGTTAACACAGCACGCACTATCACAGTCAATCCTGGCTCTGTCAGGACAATGTCGGATGCTCCCCGGGCTACATCAGTAGCCTTGGCCACTGCAATTCCGATGTCTGCCTTCTTCAGAGCAGGCGCGTCCTTTACTCCATCTCCAGTCATCCAGCAAACATGTTTCCTAGCTTCCAGCCTCTTCACAATCTCATACTTATGCTCTGAATATTTGATCATTAATTAAACCCATTGATATGTTGTTTAAAATGAAAAAAACCAGTATTATTTTCTTCTTCAGGCAGAAAAGGCAAGATGAAGAATTAAATCCATGTAATGGATGCTCATAAAGGATTTAATTTGTAAGAGGATCTAGTTTTTTTGTTTATTAAAAGAAAATAAACTTGGATGCTTCGATAACGAGGGAAGCGTCAAGATGCATGTAAACAACATAAATCACATTGAAACACTAGATTTAGTCCAGTTAACAGGGAAGACACAGCAAAGCCATCAGCCTTTTCAATAAGCCCATCAACAGGAAAAATAATAAAAAAAGAAATCTAGGGAGTGTAATTGGAGAACATAGATGACAGAGGACCAAATAATATGGAGGACCATATGAGGAAAAAATAAATAGAAAATTGAGCTAAGATTTAAAAATAAATAAATGGAAAACCGAGTTGGGATTGGAAAATTCAGAAGGATCTTAATTCCATAAAGAAAATTAAAAATCCCTAATTAAATATGGAACAAAATAAAATCTTCCCTAAAATCTCAGTCAATGGTCGAGGACTCTGCTCAGGTAAGGAAAAAAGAGGAGGAGGAGCAGTATCCCATCGATTCACGCGCCTCCTCCCTTCACCGGTGTGTGAACCACGTGACATGTACCCGTAACCCCTGCCAACCCAAAATCTAACAGCGTCCAGTCGACTCCAACAATTCCCAAAGATCCTTTCTAACCTTTAATGCATTGAATTATTTATTTTCAGTGGTTTTTAGTTAAGCTGGGTAGATGTGAGAATTATTTATTTGGTTTGAATTTTTCTTTATATTGTCCTTTTGAATTGGGTTGAATTTCGATTTGGTTGGTTTGAATTTCAGATTGGTTGGATTGATGTGTGATTTTTTTTATTTTGTTAATGTGTTTAGGTATGTCCATTGATTGATAATTTTTACAATTCAAAATTGACTTGGAGTTGTATATACTATTAGGTTATTCCTCGAAGTTGTATTAAGGGTAAATGTTTTAGAAGTTCTAAATATTAGTATCATATATATATATATATATATATATATGTATGTATGTGTGTGTGTGTGTATATGTATATTCTCACCATTTGTAATAGCTTACGATGTAATCGTCACTTAAACTTTGCTTATGAGAGTAAATCCTATTTAGATTTCTCTTCAGATATCATACTAAGAGTAATTGAATTTGTATTATAAATATTGACATAATGTATATTTGTATATGATTTTTTTTCCCATGGATTTTGATTTGTCTCATAACTTAAAATCGATCCAAAAATTATATACCTTAATTAGGTTTTCCTTTTGACGTTGTATGTAAAGTAAGTGAGCCAAATTTTTATTTGAATATTGATTTTTCATTAATTTGTATGGTTTGGATTTCCTCGTGTGTAAGCAGAGGAGACATCACATAAAAAATTGAGCGAAAGCTCAATAAGCCATAACCACCATTGCAGGACCAATACTTTAATGGTGTTTGGTTGTGTGGTTATTTCTGTGTTTAAAGTAATTACAACAACTTACTTGTTTGGTAATGCTTTAATAGTAGATTTTTATTGGTGGGGCTTATTATTAATTATGGCACGGCCATAGATTTGTAAAAAGCAGCAAATTGCTGCTTCTTGAGCTGCAAAACTCATGAACAGTTGAGCATGCTCCACTCTTCTTGAGCTGGAAAACTCATGAACAGTTGAGCATGCTCTATTGTTCCGGCCATACTAATCTAGTTCAATGCTAAAAATACATTGAATCAGGTCTGATCTAACAAAATCAAAAAATATTTTTTTTTTATTTTTGAATGCGTTTTATTTAAAAAAACTAGTGTTAAATATTATTCAATGACACTACATAAATTAGACGGAGATCGCTTGATGACGTAATATTTGCAGAATTTGATCACAATCCCAATTTTATTCCTGATTATATTTTACCTATGTTATTGCGTTCTTAAAAAAAAATTAATGGAACAATAAAAAATATTTTATAAAAAGTATTATTTATTTCATGATATAATAGTAATAGTTAAATCTACAATATTTAAATTAAAAACCATCAATATTAATATATATTTTTTAAAATTATTTTATAACCTCAATTTAAAAGCATTCTTAACCAAACATATTAAACTATTTTTTCTTCAACTTCAATTTCAACCACAGTTTTAACCAAGCATCTATTTTTTCAAACCAACCTTAACTAAAAATACTGTTTATAAAACAACTTTTTTTAAATCACAACCATAATAACTACCGCAAAACCAAACACACTTTATATTCAAAAGGTAAAGATTGAGTTTTGTTGTTAGGTTTAGGATCCAAATCACTCCTTATAATTTAGAAGTTAAGATCATTAGAAAGGGTTTATCTATTTGGTAGAAAAAGGGTGTTAAAGGTTTGTTCTTTAATTTCATCATAAAGACCCATCCAGTTGAAGATGTCTCCATATGGTAGGAGGCTTTATCTTTATATTATTTCATTGTTATTCATTGAAATCAAAGAGGAAATGGATATCTCTTGGATGTTGTAATTTTTGAAAATGTTATGTCTTGGTCTTAATTGATGATGAAAACATTAGTTTAATTGAGCTTCTGGGGACTTTGTTATGGGAATTATATAATTATGAGGCAATTTGGTGTAATTGAGGCTACCTATCAATCTCCAATCCATACATTACTAGAAAATAGATAAATGCAAATAGAAATACTGAGAGAATATTTCCATTAGTAAATTTTTTAGGGATTTTACCATGGAGAAAAAAATAAAACAAAGTAAAAAAAATGATGACATGTCATTTTTACTAACAGAATTACCGAAGGAATATAATTCTGTTGGTAAAATTTGTCATAAATTCATTGGTAATCTGTCATAAATCATATCAATTATAAAGGGAATCACCAACGAAATTTTCCATCGTTATTTTCTAAAAAGCTCCAGAACTATTTACTTTCCAATTACACTGTTAATTATGTTTTTTTATAGACAAAATCATTGACAAATTTAAACGTCATCGGTGTGATTTCATGGTTTTCTGAAAAAAATTAATTAATTTAAAATTTTCATTTAAATATTATAGACGAAATCACCGATAGATTGAAAAATCATTAGTGATTGTTGGCGATTTTTGAAATTTTTTTATAAAATGAAAATTTAAATTAAATATTAAAGATAAAATTAATGATAAAATAATTAAAAATATTAATATTTAATTATCCGTCGGTAAAACCCTTGCTAACATGCCTTAATAAAAAGTATGAATCTCCTTATTTCACAAGAGACAGACTCATTTCTTATTATTCTTTTTCTTTTTCACTATATGAAAAAAAATCAATATCTATTTCTTTCTCTCCTCATCTCACCTCATCTCCTTCTCTTCTCTTTCATGTTCGAGTATGTCTTCTTCTTCTTCTTCTTCTTTTATCCTTTTATGTTATTTTTAATTAATATGCTTTACAAAATTTCTTTTCTCTCTTTAACTTCATTTGCAACTACATTAAGGTAAGATTTTTCTTTTTTCTTCTTTTTTCAAGATTTTTTTCACTATATTTATTTATTTTATTTTATTTTTAATTTTTTTTGTTCTTAATAATTGTATAAATGTTGTTATGAGATTTTTTTTTTCATATGAGATCATTTTTTAGTTGATTTATTTATAGGATTTTTAAATTTTTAGCAATTGCAACTTCATTTTTTTTCATATGAATTTTTTTAGTTGATTTTTTTATTCTTTTTTCCAAGCATGTTGAGTATATATTATAGAGTGTTGATTTATGTTAATTGACCCAAATAAGTAATAATAACCCAGAGACTAAAAAGAAAATAAGAAAAATAAGAAAATTAACATCCTAAATATGCTAAAATAAGATTTGTCACCATTAAGAAGTCCCAAATATACTAGAAAATCTGATCTGAAAGTAGAATTTATTTTGAATAATTATTTCTTTTTGTAGCTAGGATAAATAAGAAATCCTTGTAAGAAAAGGATTTTGAAATAATTATGAATCCTTGCCACAATTAAAAACTGTGTTGTAGCTCATTAAAGAACTTTTTAGAATTAATATATTTTCAAAATAAGATGCTACATCCTTTTAGGAAAATAATCTTAGTCAATTAGGAAGTCCACGAGTCAAAAGGAAGTAAATAACAAAATTTATACAGCCTATATTGACCCATATGTAGATACCTTCTCGAAGACTGATTGATCTAAAATTTTAACTCAATGTAGGAAAACATGTCAAGAGACTCCACATAAAATGTCAGCTCGATCAAACAGTCGGATTGAAAATTATGACTGTTACTATAAAATTGGATAGTTGTATATTTAATGTCAAAATCTGAATTTAACATTTCCTGGATCTTATAAAAAATAGTTCCTTACAAAAAAACAAAATTCCATCTTCCGGTCTTTCTTTTTCTTTGAATCTTTTGTAGCTTTTTTTTTAAAAAAATTATTCTTCAATATTTATTTGATTTTGAATTGTTCTTTATAATTTGTTTCATTCTGCTTCCTGTAAAGTTATCACAATATAAAAACAAATATTCTAATATTTGATTGATACTCAATTTTGCGTTATCACAATATAAAAACAAATATTCTAGTATTTGATTGATACTCAATTTTACAAGTGTTTATTTTTGTTATCATATTATTTTATTAAAAATAATTTAAAAAACATAAAGTTATTAAATCCAGTGAATATATGATTAAAATTGCAGGTTTGACCATGAAATTGAGTCAATTTATTATATCATCATTTTAATATTAAAAAAAATATTATTTTGAATTAATTACTATGAAATGCATTTCATTGGGTTTAAGAATCTAGCTACATTTTCCCCAGCAAAACAATACCAAAAATTATCACTGAAATGCATTTTCATTGGGTTTGGTTCGTGATGGCAGTTTAATTTTGTCCAAGGTTTTCTTACTTTCTTCTTGCACCTTTAATTTTCATTGGGTTTGGTTCATGATCGCAGTTTAATTTTGTCATTTAA